GTAATATATAGATTTAGCTATAGTAAGTTAGGTAATCATTGCCCTTTTCATCTGAAGACTTCCTAGTCTACTTTTGCTGACCAATCAGAAGCCATTGTTTATATACATCAATGGATAAGATGAATCACATTCTTCTCAAGATTAATTGAGGTACATTTCCCTCACTCCCTTGAGGAGTGTTATAGCGGGTGTGGTGAGTTTCTCCCTTGGTTAGCAATAACCACGGCCTTCCTAAAATGTGTTCATATGCATGCACACGCATACGCACACACATACTGAGCCTGACAGAGGCACCTCATGGGCGCGAATGCTTTTCCTACAGCTGAGTCCCATCGGGCACCCTCAGTCCCGCAGGTGCTGACACCTGTGCCCGCTCTCATTCTCGCCCTCGGCAGCTGCCCAGTGCCGAAAGGACAAGTGCTTTCAGAGGTGCTCATGCCATCTTGGCTGAGCTATTCCTCGCTGGAAACACGTGACTCTGCAGCAGCAGCTCCCTCCTCCTGTCCCCCGGTAGCCCCTTGTTGAGAACATGGGCCACTAGCTGGCCGCGGACAGCATGAGTAACTTGATTGTTTTGTTATAATTTAGACATTTTTTTTGACCTGTGATTCCTTCCCCTCAAATCCAGTATTGGGATCGTTTTACTAATACACGTGTAAAACGTGAGTAATCAAGTCTGTGTGCTCCCAGCCTTCACATGTCTTTTTGAACTCTGTCTTATACTTAGCAGCACACAGTGCTCTGGTGTCCTTTTAGCCAAGTACCCATCACGACACCCTTCCCATCTGGTTTTTGCTTTGCCTCTGTAACGTCTGCTTCACAGGGAATGGAAGACTCCAGGGGTCTCCATGTACATAACTCAGTACACAGATGTATTATTGCTATTAAAACAGATAGGGTGCTACCAGTTGGCCCTGGGCATTCGGAGGTGGTGGCTGATTCTTGCCCCTGTCATAGCAAACCTGTGGAAGTCTGCAGAGAGGGCCTTCTCTCACCTGGGAAGTGTACAGCCTGTATCCTGCAGGATATTGTTTCAAATGTGTATATATTTCATGTTTGATACTTGCCACTTACTGATCAACAGAACATCCTGCTTGATTTTAACAAAATAAATACTGTGTCTTCAAGGGAAAAAAAAAAGATTAATTGAGGTATTAAAATGAAACATCACCTATTATAACACATTTGTGGTTATTAACACAAATTGTATTATTTGCAACAGGGCAAAAAGAAATAACTCAAGTATATAATAAGCAAATAACTTTTAAAAAAATCTCATGAAACCAAACAGTAATACCTAGTATGGTTTTGGATATAGATACAACCTTTACTCAAAATGAAAACATAAAATCTTATTAGCCTAAAAATATTCACTAAATTTTTAAAAGGCATGTATCCTAGGTTTTGTCAGATAAAGATGTACACCAAAGAACTGACAATGCAATATTCTTTTCACAAAATATTTGTGACAATAATCTTTCAAGAAAAAAACTAAATTTTTGCCTTTGAGTAATGAGGAAGACAAACCAATGGCTATCTTGAGAAGTAGTAGTAAGTTAAAAGCCAACCTGGAGATCTGTGGGTGACCACAAAGTCTTCTCCTGTGGTGGTTCTAGGTAGGAAAGATTAGCAGAAAGTACTCCACCATGAGCAATTAGGAATCCCTGAAAAAAATACAGCCTTCAAATTAAAAATAAGAAAAGGCAGAGGCTGGAGATTTAGCTCAGTGGCCCCGCGCCTGCCTTGTAAATGCAAGGTCCTGAGTTCAACTGCCAGTACCAGAAAAAAAAATTTTTTTTGATTTACTAAAAATAAAAGGAGAGGCTTAAAGCTTAAAAGCTAAGATACTTTTTAAGAGTATAGTTTCCATATTAATAGAGATATCCAACTTAACATCAGTCTCCCAGTGATAAAATGTCAATATTAAGTTCAGATTATCAATTCTTACTTCACATGAATATGAACCCAGACATGGTGCATGCCCGTAATCCCAGTACTTGCAAGGCTGAGGATGGCCATGCATTCAAGGCCAGGCTGGGCTACACAGTGAGTTCAAGACTAGCCTGAACTATATAGTAAGAGACTGTCTCAAAACAACAAAACAACAAAAATGTGAATAAGAAGGGAAAGGCAAAGTTAATCAGGATGATTTTAAAATGCATTCTAATTTTCTTAAAAAGTAAATGCTATCCAAAGAACCAAGTTTATTATCTTCCTGAATGTAGAAGCCACAAAATTATCAATGATTACCAAAGCTAACTGAAATCACCAATGACTGATGATTAATGAAGTTAACCGCTGTACCGAAAAAAGAAAAACCTCACTACATTCTTACACATGGAAAGATTCCCAAGTAAATAAATATAAGACTTAAATGTGATTTCTACAATTTCTGCAGTGAATTTGTTTAGCACTTATTGTGTATCTAATAAATAATATATTGCTTATGTTTTTATAGAAAACTATTTATAAAGGCCAAGTGGAATAAAGTCATTAGACAATAAAAAAAAATTTCAGGGCCGGGGATTTAGCTCAGTGGTTTCACTGCCTGCTGCACAAGAGCAAGAACCCGAGTTCGATCCCTGGTACCAAAAAAAAAAAAAAAAATTCATATACAAGCTTAGACAAAGCAGATTGAAATCACTAACCTTGAAATACTGGTCTAGAAAATTACTAAGTTTACTTACATCTTAATAAAATACACAATGTGCTAAATGTAAATCTTAACTTCTAAGACCAGAATAAATTTAATAGTATATACAGCTTCTCTAGAAAAGCAAAATACAAAGTGTGAGCTAGCCACTACACAATGATAAAGCTAAGAAAAAATAACAAATATTTTTTTTTAAAATGATTATGAAAGGCTTCCAAATACAATTCTGAAGAATCATTTCTCAAAACAGAAATGTTCAAATATAAATGGAGAGGAAAAACTAGGATGAAATATATAATCTTTTTTTAAGAACTTGTTTTTTTCTTTGTGTACATAGAAACTTTTTACCTGCAGAATAACTGAAAAAGAGCTTTCTAAATGGCAGTCCAATTTTACTTGACTACTCAGATCTCTAATAGAAAACATGTTTCAACTGAATGCTTAAAACAGAATTAAATCAATTAACACTAATGTTTCTGATATGGAATTTTAAAAAATGGGCAACCCAATTTAAAACACCAAAGAATAAGGTGAACTCTCTATTACTAAACTAAAAAAGATTGGTTTTCTCAACCAGACTTGAAAATTTTTTGAAAAATAGATTCATTCAAATAAAAAAACTCAAAATGATTATGTACCAAGTTATTTTACATACAAATTGTCTTATCCTGCAATGAAATGAAAAATGAACACACTATTCTAACAGACAATGTAATCCTGAAACTAAATTATTGCATGTCATCTTTCAAAAGATGTGCTAGTAAGTCATGAAGGCTTACTACACAGTAATTTGCTTACTAGAACCAAACTCATAAAATCATTACAGAACCTAAGTAGTGAAACAGGAGTAAACATCAGTATTCAAATTAGCAACCTGAACTTAATTTATATTACCATTCAACTAAGGATTCACACCAATGGTTCCAACCAAGTAAAACATGGTCAAAGGAAAGATCAAGACACAAGGAATGCAAGCTTTCCCACACAAGGTAAAATCAATGTCAAGAAAGTAAAAGTTGAATTTACTCAACAATATAAACTGCAAGTTAATGATAAGGAAAGGATTTAAATTTCTTAAGAATGTTGTAATCTGCCAAATATGTTTTGTTGCCTAAGAGCTGGTATTTTAGCAAATATTGTTAACTTTGAATGGCCTATTACAACAAATCAAAAACAAATGCTACGAAAATAATCTCCTGAACAGGCTTCAATCCTGGGTTCAGTGTTGGGTCGGGGAAGGGTCTCCCCGCCGCGCCCCTCCTGCGTTCCCACCCTCTCCCCCATCTAGAGGGCTGGGCTCAGGGCTGTTTGGCAAAGTACTGCAGAAGTCTTTCAGCCGCTTTGTTACAATCCCTCCTGTCCCCGCGGCTCTGCCCGCTGGCCACAGCGCCCTACCCGGCCGCGCTGGCCCAGGCCCAAGCCGGCCCGCGGAGTCGGGACAACTTTCCAAGCAGACAGAGCGCGGGGCGTGGGCAATCTCGCGCGCTGGACCACTGAAGCGGGCGAGTGACCGCGACCACGTTCCGACCCTCGAAGACGCCATCAGAGAGGCTGAGGACGGGACTGAACACACGGGCCGCCGGGCCCTCGGGACACCTCGGCGAAAGGCCCGCAGCCGCCTTCCTGCTCGCTGACCCGGCTCGGTGGCGGGAAGGCGAAAGGAGGGCTTGGGGGCCACGGATGGGGTAGCGAGGACGGGGTGGGGGTATGTGGAGTCCCGGGTGGTAGGTGGGGTCCTTGAGGAACAAGTAGGCCAGTCAGGTGGGGTCCTAGCGACATAAGTGGACAGCCAGTTGGGGTTCCAGTGGCACAGGTGGACGCGCCGGCAGGGTCCCGGGGGCACAGGTGGGTGGCCGAGGGCACAGGTGGGCGGCCAGTTGGGATCCTGAGGGCACAGGTGAGCGGCTAGATGGCTTCCCGGGGTCACAAGGGGGCGGCTAGGTGGAGTCCCGGAGACACAGGGAGGTGACCGGAGGCACAGGTGACGCAGGCCCCCGGCGCAGCCTGATGTCCCCCGGGACCCCTCCCCGGCCGGCGGGTCCGCAGAAGGGGAGGACTCGCTAGGGAGGCGGGGGGATGGGACGCGGAGGTAAAGGGGCGCGGTACACAAGCGACAAGGGCGGGGCGTGCTCTGGGCCCCGACCCAAGGTGGGCACGGGTGGCCCGGGGTGGGGAGGGACCCGAGCCCGGGAGGCAGGCGAGCGCGTCCCCGAGGGGAGGCCTGGGGTTTCGGCAGCTGTAGCCTGGGTCTCCCCACCCCCTCGCGCCCCTCCCTTCTCTATCGGTTCCCCTCCCCCTCCCTAGAGCCCCCTCCCCTCCTCCACCTCTCGGGGGCGGCGGCACTCACCTCGGTCGGCTGGCTGATCTCGAACAGGTCCAGCCGGTTGGCGTTCCAATGGTGGATGATGTCGGCCAGCTTCCGCCGCTCCTCGTCGCGGCCGCCCGCCGACATGGTCACGACTGAGCTCTTCTGCGGCGGGCCAGAGCCCTCAGGCCGCCTCGCCGCCGCCGCCGCGCGTCGTCCGCCCGGGCTTAGCCGCGTCCGGCCCGCGCCGCTCAGCCCGCGCCTCAGCCACGGCCGGTGCGCCGAGGAGCGCCG